CTCCTCCTCCTCCTCCTCTCCTCCTCCTCCGCCTCCCCTCCTCCTCCTCCTCCTCCTCCTCCTCCTCCTCCTCCTATCATCATCATCCGATTATTCCTCCTCCTCCTCCTCAGCCTTCCTCCTCCTCCTCCTCCTTCTCCTGGTCTCCTGCCCCTGCTCCTGATCCTCTCGCTGCTCCTGCTCCTCTCTCCTGCTCCTGCTCCTGCTCCTGCTCCTGCTCCTCCTCCTCTTCTCCCTCGCTCCCTCCTCCTCCTCCTCCTCCTCCTCCTCCTCCTCCTCCTCCTCTTCCTCCTGCTCCTCTGCTCCTGCTCCTGCTCCTGCTCCCTGCCTCCTCCTCCTCCTCCTCCTCCTCCTCCCTCCTCCTCCTCATTACTCCTCCTCCTCTCTCCTCCTCCTCCTCCTCCTTCCTCCTCCTCCTCCTACTCCTCCTCCTCCTCCTCCTCCTCCTCCTCCTCCTCATCCTCATCATCATCATCATCTATCATCATCATCATCATCATCATCATCATCATCATCATCATCATCATCTCATCATCATCTCATCATCATCATCATCATCATCATCATCATCATCATCATCATCATCATCATCATCATCGTCATCATCATCATCATCATAATCAGCATCATCCCCCACATTCTCATCCTCCTCATCGTCATCCTCATCGTCACCACCACAATCATCACCATCACCACCACCATCGTCATAATAAATTATAATCATCATCATCCTCATCATCATCATCATCATCACCATCGTCGTCATCAGCGGCATCCTCATCCTCATCATGATCTTCATCTTCACCCTCATCCTCATCCTCATCCTCATCATCATCCGCATCAGCATCAGCACTGCAATCATCACCACCACCACCACCACCGCCATCATCATCATCAGCAGCAGCATCATCACCGGCATCCTCATCCGCATCCTCATCCTCATCCTCATCCTCCTCATCATCAGCATCATCATCGTCATCATCATCGTCATCATCATCAGCATCATGATCCCCCCGCGCTCTGTTTCTCAGTTTCCTAGTGTCTGATGCCAGCGCCGTCTGGAATCTGACTGCACACGAGCGTGGGTGAGCAGAGGCACGGCGGCGCACACTTCACCCGATGTGAAAGAATGGAAACGGCTTGGGCAAGGCCACGGGGAGCCGAAAAACTAATTACGAGCGCGCATAGATCATTCACGTACAACTCACATGATCCCCCCGCGCTCTGTTTCTCAGTTTCCTAGTGTCTGATGCCGGCGCCGTCTGGAGTCTGACTGCACACGAGCGTGGGTGAGCAGAGGCACGGCGGCGCACACTTCACCCATATCACCCATAACATGATGTGTCACCTACTTTGCTGCGCTGGGAGGAGTAGCTACACGCTTGCCACGGGCACTGAAAGAGAGCGGCGGCGGCGGCTGCACCGCGCGGCCTCTGAGAATCGAGTCCTCGAGCGCGTCTACCTGCTCCTCCAGCCAGCAGCGCAGCGCCAGGGGAAGCAGAGCGTAGTCTTTCATCATCATGCCTGACTTCTCGTAGCGCTGCACACTTTTGGTAGACATCCAGCCACCGCGACGTTGCACCTCGTACAGGTTGCGATGCTTTTATATATATATATGTATCCCAGGAAGCGCCGTCATGGCGCAACTGGTAAGGTACAATATCTTGGCCGAGCAGTCGGCCTTGCTTACGAATTTCACGCACTAACTCTGGATAGGTAAACTGCCACAAGCTCTCATTTCGTTTTCCGACGGCTAGAATCTGAAGAACTTCGCCCATCCATTCAAAACCCTGAGTGTCCCACAAGATGGTGTCGTCGTGAGTTCCTACTTTCGAGACCTGGTGGAGGTCTGACCTGTGTGCGAGCACACGCCACATGGTGTCGACCTTCATGGTAGGTGGGACCAGCGAGCCCCTGGTGAGCTGCATCATAGAGCCTGGGCGCAGGTAGGTGCAGAAAGCGATGATCGCCCAGATGGCCATGCCCAGGTGCCCCTCGTAGGCCAGCAGCGCGGCCAACCCTGCGACCGTCGGCAGGGTCAAGGGCTGTCGACTGCGCGGTGGGTCCAGCTTGGCCCAGCCCCTGGCAGCCCGCCAGGCTCGCGGAAGAGAAAGGTCGCCTAGCTTGCCAAAACGAGGTTGGAAGAACACCACGGCCGCGATCAACTTCTGACCGATGCCCGCGTCGTAGCCCAGCATGTACATGTGGGTCATGAAGGCGACGATGGCCACGTCGAAGTCCTGCGCTTTGTCGGTGTCCAGCTTGCGCTCGTCGACGTAGTCCACCAGGCCTCGATATAGCTTTCGATATTGCGCCCAGGTTCGCTCTCCTACCGAGCTTCGTTCTAGCACCGAAACGTGCTTCATACCTGGCTCTTTTGCCATCTTCGCATGGTGGATCTTGCGCCTCAGCACGCGATCCTGCACGAGCGGGTTGCCATCCTCCTCCGAGGTCGTGCCGTCCGAAGCTTCCAGACGGCTGGCGCCCCTTTCCGCCTCCTCCAGCAGCACGGGCAAGGGGGGGCGATCGCGTCGCTGTGGCAAAGTAGCCTGCCACCTCTTCTCTAGTGGCAGCGGGTCCGCACGACGAAGAAGCACACGAACTTCCCTCTCCTCCGTCGGAGCCGCTCTCTTGGCCTTCCTCACCAAGGACATGATGAGCCCACTCAAGTAAAGAAGTAGAGCATGGTGGGACTTCATGCTTGGCCAAAACGGCTACAGAGCACTGCCGTTCTCGAGCGAGACGGCGTATATCAGAAGCGACGCTCAACTCGACCGTGCCCCCCCGATGCAGACCGGGGTCCCTTGAAGGTTTGTCGGAGCTGTTGAACTCACTCGGGATCCACCTGAACCCCACGGAGAGGTTTCGCGAGAGCGCCAGCGCCGCCGCCCGCCGAACCTGCACCAGCAGAGGAAAAGCACGGGCCCTGGATCTTGCAAAGCTGAGCGTGACACCGAGATTATCCCCAAGAGCCAGCAGACGACAGCTATGTACTCCAGGTTCCAAAACCACATTAGCGATCCCAAGGACTCCAGCTCTGGCTTCCCCCTCATGTACAATCATCTTTCTCCTCCAGGAATGGCAGAATAGCACTTCCCAGTCTTTCCCCACAAGCCCCTCGAGCGGAACCTCGGGAAAGGACAAGTCTTGCTCCCAAAGCTCCGAGACGTCCTCGAACGACGGCGGCGGCGTCACAAACACCAGGGGGTCATCAGGGTCGAGGCAAGAAAGCGCATGCCCACGAGCTTGCGCAGCATCCTGACGAACAAATCTAACTCTCTCTTGGACTCCCCCCTGAGCGGCCGCCCAGGCAGGAGATCTAGTAGCAACACAGGCCCCAGCACCCTCAGGGCAGGAGTCATACGTCAACACTTCTCCAAGCCAGCAGCGGGACCAGTCAGAACGGATAAGAGGCATGAGGTAGAGGAAAGACTCGAGCTCCTCACGCGCTGTTGGCCACAATGGAGCCCACGAGTGACGGCACCGCCGAGCGAACTTGTAGACCGAGGCGAAGCAGGAGAGGAGAGGACGCTGAAGCATAGCGAGGTAGGTGCAGTGGCCCAGAAGAACCTCGAGGGCTTTTCCAGTTACCTTGGGCGCCTCCAAGAAAGCCCCCAGAGTCCAACGAATCTTCCAGTACCGCTTCCCCGCAGGCCTGAAACACTTTAGCTCCCCGTTGAACTCGATCCCAAGAGCGTCCCGAACCTGGCCAGCCTCCTGGACTTCGCGACACCGCATTTTGTTAGCGTTAAGAACGTTTTTGATGTTATCAAGCGACTTCTGGACCTCAATCTGGTCCGCTCCCAAGACCCCCACGTTGTCCACATACACGTAAAAGACGGGCGCGGAGTCCTTACTTATGACGAGCCCGCCCCCCCCTGTCCTCCATCGCCACAGAGCCTTCCATCCCAGAGGCCTCCCGAACCAGGCGAGCATTGATACGCTGGGCCCCGAAGACCGACCAAGAGAAGCCCATGGGGAGCACAGCCATGGCGGCCCACGCAAGCCCGCCGTCTCCAGGAACCTCCCGTCCCCGAACATGCGCCAGACCTAGCTCTCGTGCGCGAACGGGGGGTAGACAAAAATAGTCGCCCAAGTCGCTGTCTACACCGATTCTGCGAAAGCAGTTGTCCACGTCAAGAGACGCCTCAAAAAGCTCAACACCTCCCTCCACATCCAGGCGGGCGAAACTCTCAGGCGCGGCCAGCAGAGTACTAGGAGGATCTCGGAAAAGCTGGTTAGTGCGTCTCGCATCGATGATAAGTCGCTGTCTTCCATCCTTTTTTCGAACAGAGAACGGGGTGGCGATTTCTTTGGGCGTAGTCGACCACCTGATGAGACCACGACCGTGCAACATCTTCAGAAAGCGAACGTACTCGTGCCGTCGAGTGCGAAGCTTCTGGTCAAAATACGGGTTAATAGACTCGCCGTAGTCTCTCATTTGCATCACTTCCTTCACATCTCTCATCATGCTCTTCCTAAAGTTCACCACCGCCTCCCTGTCCTCCTGAGAAACCAAGTCCTGAAGCAACATCCTGTCCTGGACTCCTTCGGGCAGAGAGACGAGGGCTCGATCGAACTCGACGACCGCGGAAGCTGCGTGGTCATAACCACACTTGCTCTGGAGGAGCTCGCGCACGGCTCCCTCCTCATCCAAAAAAGGCGGCACAGGCGGCTGTTGGGTAACTCGTCCCGCGACAAAAACGCGAATCTCGCTCACCACCTCTTGGCGAACGAGAGGGCTCGAAGCTCGGGAATATAGCCAATTGAGGCCCGTCAAAACCTCCCCGAACTCACGCGACTGGTGGCTCCTGAGGTTCGATCCCCGCCTGCACCTTCTCGAGAGACGCGTCGGCGGAGAAGCAGCGTGGTCACAAAACTCGAGCGGAAACAGCGGCACCTGTCGTGCTTCCCGCGCATCACTCTCGCCTGTCAGCGTGCATGCCGCGCGGCGACTGCGGCGCGCACTATCATCGGTCTTGCGGGCAAGGATGGAGGCCTCACTGATCTTTGCTCTCCTCCTTCTCCTTGCCCTTCCCTGTGGACTTCCCGCGCTTGAGGGCGACCTTGGCCTCGTCCCTCAGAGCCTTGGCCTTGCTGGTCTGTTTGTCGATCTCTGCCTCCTCTCGCACCTCCTTGGCCACGTAGGTGCGAAGCGCCGGCGCCACAAGCTGTGCTCGGCGGTTGTAGCCCGAGAACTTATCAGCAATCTCGTAGTTCGGGTTCATAGGGTTCTTACCATGAGCCTCAAGTATAGCCTGCCATCTCCGCCCCAACCTCTCGAAGGCCGCGAGCGAAGCCACGTCAAGCTGATCGTAAGAGATAGCCAGTTCAAAAACCTCCGCCATCACCCGCATCTCGTGAATAGAGCGATCGTTCTCGCTCCATCCCGCCGTCTGGAGATGGCGCTCTAGCCAGAACGTAAGCACCATCGCCAGCTGGGCAAACGACATCATCAGCCACAAGAAAGTGCGAGGACCATCCAAAGGCCAGTCCGAGAAGGCGCCCTCGACCATCTCCTTGACCGAGTCCACCCAGACGCGCTCCCTGCGGTTGAAGGCATTGAACTTCACCGACAGCGTGCGAACATCCTCGTCCGCCTTCTCGTCAGGCTCCTCACCCGCACCAGGAAGCTGCGGGCCAGCAGGAGCCCCCCGCAGGGCCTGGAGCCCTGTGGGCGAGCCAGGGCCTCCATCACGCTCCTCGGGCGTGTGAGTGCCACCCAGGCCCACCAGCAGCAGGGACTTGCGGCCCGCGAAGTAGCCATCGAGGTCGTCCACCTTGATTCGCTCGAGCGCCGCGACGACTGAGCCAAACTTGGCGAAGCCGCGGTTCCCGAGCTTGCACGCCACGGACTCCTTAGCGACCTGAATACTGATCCTCGCCACCTCCTGGTCCCCGTCGAAGACAGGCTCCGACACGACCCAGACCTCGTCATTCTCGGGAGCGTCGGCAAGGTCAGCCTGCCCATCAGCAGGCTGCGGCAGAGGAGGAGCAGGACCTCGCGGACCGAGGAGGGGCCGACGGAAGTTCCTGATCGCAAACGTGTCATCCCGCACTCTAGCGCGCGGGATCCCGTCGAGCCCCTCGTCGGCGATGACCTGCGACGCCTCGGCCCTAAGCTCCGAGAACTTGCCCCAGGGCACCGTCTGATCGAAACGGTAGATGGGCCTCGGTAGCCCCCTCGGCACCGTGCGACCTTTCAGCACCTCAACTCTGATGGGCCCGCGATCTCCCGTGGTCCTCCATTCCTCCGCGTAGACATCGAAGTCAGGCGAAGCCCCAACCCAGATACGTCTATCATCCAGTGACTTAACTTCCCTCAGCAAAATCCGCTCATGACCGTATTCGTCCCCTTCGTACCAGTAGATGGCATAGCCACCTGGCAGAGCCTCCACGGCTCCCGCCATCACTGTTCAATGCGACCGAACCCTCCTCGACGAGGGGCAGCAACACGACGAGGACAACAAAGCCGAGTGAGCAGACCTCCGACTGCTGCTCCGAGTAGCACTCCCAGGAGGCCGACGTTGGCAAGGGAGACGCCGGGGTCCGTGGGTGCGATGTAGCACGTCCTGTTGAAGAAGTCGGGCGGCACCTCGCACACGGGATGACGTTCCAGCGGCAGCGGACACACACACACAGTCGGGTGCCTTCGGACACTCCGAAGGCCGAGGGCAGTCACAGAAGCAGTCTGGGCACTGGTGTCGTGCGGAAAGTGAAGCTAATGAAGCGAGCTCCCTCGCAAGTCCGACTGCGAAGACACCGATGCCAACCTCTGGCCTCATGCGTATGAGCCGAAAAACTAATTACGAGCGCGCATAGATCATTCACGTACAACTCACATCACCATCAGCATCATGATCATCAGCATCATCAGTATTATCATCAGCATAATCAACATCATCATCAGCATCATCATCCCCATCCTCATCCTCATCATGATCATGATCATGATCGTGATCATCATCATCATCATCATCATCATCATCATCAGCAGCAGCAGCAGCAGCATCAGTATCATCAGTAGCAGCATCATCATCAGCATCAGCATCAGCAGCATCATCATCGTCCTCCATCAGCATACACCTCCTCCTCCTCAGTCTTCTTCCCCTTCTCATCGTCATCAGTATCACCGTCATCAGCAGCAGAATAAGCCATCCTTAGCATCATCATCATCGTCCTCATGATCCCGCCCCCGCCGTCATGCCTCATGTTCATTGCCTTCACCATCCCCTTCCCCCTCCTCATCCTCCTCCTCCTCCACTCCTGCTCCGCCTGGCTCCTCATCATCATCCGCCTTATAGTTATCATCACCCATTCCGCCTGGTCCTCCACAGCCCCCCTGCCGAAAGCGAATCACGAGAGGCATATCCGCGCGATCCGGCGGTCGCCGCGCAGGCTCCGCCGCGCAGGCTCAGGGATGAAAAAGGGGAGAGAGGAGGGAGTGCGAAATTCGAGTGCGTGGGATTGAAAGAGGAACGCCCCAACCCCCTCTGGTGGTGTAAATCCGCCACCATGCCGCAGGCACGGAGTGGGCGTGTCCTCAGGTCCTTTGTCTCATCCTCTAAGCCTAGTCCGCACTCCTGAGGAGTGCCCGGACCCCAAATTCCCTATTTCTCCGGGGCTTGGCGCAAGCCCCCTGAGGTTCCCGGCGGCTTGTCGCGTGACGTTTTCTAGCCCACGAGGGCCCCAAGAAAGGCCAAGAGGGCTCCATGAGGCCCCAAGACCTCCAAGACGCTCCAAGAGTGTTCCAAGAGGCCTCCCAAGAGGGTCCTTATAGGAAAAACTACTTGCTTTTCCATTGGTTTTTGAAGGTGTTTAGTGTTCTCGTCTTTTCGGCTTTCCGGCGCTCCAAGACGTCCCAAGAGGCCCCCGAGATCGCCCAAGACCGCAATGGAGGCGCCCAAGAGGATCACAAGACGGCCCAAGAGACCCCAAGACGGTCCAAGAGGCGCCCAAGACTGCTCAAGAGTGCCCCCAGACGGCCCCGAGAGGGGCCCACACGAGCTGAAAATCCGAGCCTTCTGCCCCAAGAGGCGCCCAGGAGGCCGCAAGCGGCGCCCAAGACGCCCAAAGAGGACCCCAAGAGGCCCCCACGAGGCCCCCTCGAGGTCGATTGGCCGCAAAACAGTCCCCCAGAGGCATCAAAACTGCCTCTGGGACGCCCCGAGAGGTTTCGACGAAATCCCAACGATCATCCAAGAGGCCTCAGACCCACAACCCAGGCACGGTGGTGGGATGGGCCGAAGGCCATATTAGATATTCATGTGTATATATATATATATATATATATATATATATACACGTATACATATATCCATACACAGACAGACACACATACAACCATACAGCCATACATCCATCCATACATGCATACAGACAGACAGACAGGCAGACAGACAGACCTACAGGCAGCCGGACATACATACATAAGTACAGACAAACAGACGGACAGACAGACAGACAGGCAGGCTGGCAGACAGACAGACAAGCATACATACATACGTACATGCATACAGACATACGCACATACGAACATACATACATACATGCATGAATACATACATACGCCAATGCGTGCATGCATGAATGCATCCATACATCCATCCATACATCCTTCCACCCATACATCCATCCATCCGTTCATCCAGCCAACCACACAGACAGGCAGGCAGGCATATATAAATACACACTACAGCAATACATACATACCTACATACATGCATGATTACGTAAACACCTGCATGCATACACATATACACATACATATATACATACAAACGTAGACACACATGCGTACACGCATCCATACATACACGCCGACATGCAAACATGCATACATGCAGACAGGCAGGCAGACATGCATGTATGCACTTCTACAAACAGACATACGTACATATAGTCATCAGAATATACATACATAAATGCTTGAATGCAGACAAACATCCATACATACATACATACATGCGTGGGTGCGTGAGCACACATATACATATATATACATACATACATACATACATAAACATAAACATACATACATAAACATACATACATAAACATACATGCGTACATATATACATACATACATACATACATACATACATACATACTTACATACATACATGAACCATCGCGCGCGCTTCGCGCGCGCTCAAGTTCTAGCCCAGGCCGGGGGCGCGCTAGAAGATCTTGGACAGCGCTATCAAGCACAGGCGCGTGACGTAGTCGTGCCTCCTGAGGGCCTCTTGGGAACCTCTTGGGTCTTCGTAGGGGCATCTGAAGGGCTTCTGGGGGGTTCTGCGTGCTTCCTCAGTTGGCTGTTGGAGGCACCTCTTGGGTGCTTCTCTGGGGGGGGGCATCTTGGGGCTTTTTGGGGTCCCTTCGGGGCATCGTCAGGGTTCTCCGGGCAGTCGGGAAGTGATGTTGTGCAGTCTCTGAAGCAATCAATTGGCCGACTTGGCTGCGTGGAGGCCCGGCTTGAGGCCACATTGGGGCAATCCGGAAGCCTCCCGGGGCCTCCTTGAAGCAATTTTGATGCATCGAGAGCACTGTTCTGCTATATTGGGGCGTTTGGGGGCCTGGTGGGGGGCTTTGGGGGGCCTCGTCGGACCACTTGGGGACTGTTGGGGCCTCCTGTGGGCCTCTTAGGGCGGAAAGCTCTGCTGTTGGGTTCGCGTTCCCCTTCTTGGGGATCTCTTGGGGCCCTCTTGGGGCCCTGTCGGGCCGTCTTGGGCGCCTCGGGCACCGTCTTGGGGCCCTAGTGGGCCGTCTTGGGGCCCTCTTGGAGTCCTTCTTGGCTATCTTGGAGCGGCCGTGGGGGCCACTTGGGCCGTCTTGGAGCGTCGGGATGCCAAAAGGCTGAGAACTCTAAAACCCATCAAAGGCCGACGGGAAAACATGCTTCTTGGAACCTCTTCGGGCTTCTTGGGAGCTTCTTGAGGGCCTCTTGGGTCCCACTTGGGGGCCTGAGGGGCTTCCTGAGACCCTCTCGGGGTGAAGGCTCGGATTTTCGGTACGTCTTACCCCTCTTGGGCCCATTGGGGCCGTATTGGTGCCCTCTCGGGCTGTCTTGGGCCCTGTTGGAGGCCTCTTGGGCTATCTTGGATTGGTCTTGGAGGCCTTTTGGGCCGTCTTGGAGCGTCAGGACGCCCAAAGGCTGAAAACTCGAACATCAATCAAAAACCTATGGCAAGACATAGATTTCTGCCTCTTGGGGCCTGCGTGGGAGGCCTCTTGGATACTCTTCGGCCCCCTGTGGGGCTTCTCGGGGCCTCTTGGAGCCTGTTAGGGGCTTTTCGGGGCCTCCTGAGAGCCTCTCGGGGTGGAAGACTCGGATTTTCGGTTCGTGTCAACCCTCTTGGCTCCATCTTGGGGCCGTCTTGGGGCCCTCTCGGGCCGCTTTGCGCGCCTCTGGCGCCGTCTTGGGACCCCCGTGGGCTGCCTGGTGACCGTCTTCGAGGCCTCCAGGGATGCCTTGGAGCGGAAATTAAAGCCTCTTGGGCCGTCGCGGAGCGTCAGGATATTCTTGTTGGGGCGACACATTGAGTATCTGAAATCCATCAAAAACCGAGGGACAATCAATGATTTTGGCGTCTCTTTGGGCCGTGTTGGAAGCCTTGTGGGCTGTCCCGAGGCCATCTTGGGCGTGTTCGAAAAATATGTCCTCGTTTCGGGGCCTCTTGGGGGCCTCTTGCGGCCCTTTCCGTCTGTGTTGGGGTTTTCTTGGGCCGTCTGGGGCGGCCCTGGGCTGTCTCGGCGCCCTCTTGGAAGCCTGTTTGGAAGATTTCTGGGTGTTCTGGACCGTCACATGATTTGTTGGGGTGTCGTTGGGCGCCTCCAGAGGCTTCGGGGCCTGACCCGTTTCCGAGCGTGGCGGCAGGTAGCGCTGCTTGGGACTTTCGTTTTTTACTTAACAGCGAAATCTGATTGGGTTTCTAGTAGGGTCAAAAGAGAAAGCAACATGACGCCCCAGGCGGGTCTGGGCGCGATCCGGAGAAATGCCGGGGATTGTTTTAAGCCAGCAGTTACACACTTCGTGCTCTTCGAGTTCCCAGAACTCAATTCCCGGGCCACATTTTGAATGCCCGGAACCAACTGTAAGCCACTTCGTGCACTTCGAGTTCCCAGAACTCCATTCCGGGGCCACATTTTGAATGCCCGGAACCAACTGTGGGCCACTTCGTGCTCTTCGAGTTCCCAGAACTCCATT